ACCAGTGAGAACTAATCCCAAATTCAAAATCCAGTTCGTGAATGGGGCTACACCACTGTGGCCGTGAACATTTGATCATGTACATGTTCCCCTGAAGGCTGCGAATGACAAGCCTGATGGAAAGGAAGGGGGAACACTGGGCCTACAACACTGCTCACCAAATGTGCTGACTAAAGAGAATGAGCGATTCCGTCTGGGACCCAGAGTCTTTGGCAGCTCTCAGGGTAGTTTCTGCCTTTGGTGGCAAAACAAAGTTTGGGCTTTTTTTTTTTCTTTCATTGTTTTTTGAAAGGAGAGGAGTATAATCATTTTTTAACATTGGCTCCTTTGTGTTAAAGACAGTCTGTTAGCACACATTTTCAGATTTACTTCAGAAAAGAAACGAAATAGAAGTGTGGATGCATGTTAATTACCCAAAAACATGGTGCACCAGATGGCCACTGAGGTCTGCTTCAGTCTAGTAGGTAAATAATGCTTCGCAATCCCTTTGTCCCTCTGAAAACCAAATTTTCAATTATTTTCCTTCCTATTTCTGCTAATGTAGGAAGTAACCAAGGGCAACAGAAAGCTCCATTTACGGGTGGACCAGAGGGGGTGAACACCAACATTTTTCTTCCTTTTGCTAAATTATGTAGAATGATTGGGTCCAGAAGAAGTCAAGGAAAATGCCCCAAAGCACAGAATCAGGCCTTCAGTCAAAGCACAAACACCAGAAAAAACAAGCTTGTTTTTTCAAAGCATATGTAATGTTTCAGACCTTGTCTACCTTATTGATATAGGTGTAATGATTTTGACATCAAGATTCCCCTCACTAGGCTGTGTAATGAGCCTTCTTCTCTGACTTACAGGAGATTTTTAAATCAATTAGGTCACTATATACAGTCATGGTCCATTCTAAAAAAAACAAAACTTACACTTGTAAAATGTCTTTCTGCTGAGTTGGGTATACACAATAAATTCTGCATGACATTTCAAATACTACATTTCACCTCAGTATAGTTTGAAATACTACATTTCACCTCAGTGTGTTCCATGGTTGGAAGCATTAACTTCCATAACATGTCTGTAACTTAAGGGGCAGAGTAGTATGTTTGAGATAGTGGACTTTGGTCCTTCCCTCTCTTGTGGTCCCCTTCCTTTTCCCTCACTAAGAAGGTAACCGGCTATGCATCTGGTGCTCCAAATGATAGATGTGACCAGTGGGAGAGCAGAAATAATCTGCAAGAAAACCTAGTGGCTCAGTGTATAGACCAAATATCTGGTAGAATCTGGGAAGAAAGATCTAGGGAAAGAGTCCCATATCCTGGCACACATGCAATTAGGGAGACGTCAGACAAGATGGCACCGTGTACGTAAGAACCGTGACCTGCCAGTGGGACGAATGATGATGGGTGACTCAGGGAGGGCCAGGCCAGAGCATGGACAATACAGCCACTTCCTGCACAGTGAAGGACAAGTTCCCTTCCAGAACAAGCTTTCACATCATTTATGATTCCTACATTTACATAAAACTCTGGAGAAAGAAGCAGGTAGAGGTGGAAGAGAGACCTTCAAATTGATGGAGGTTATTTCCACCCTACTTGGCAGAACTGGTCTCAAAATAAAAATCAGATTGAGCTTGAAGGAAATAAAAACTTCATTTTGTGTAAATGAGTTTGCTGATTGAGGGTCATGCCTTTAACTTTTACAAAGCCAATCATGAAGTTGGGAGAAGGCGAATAAGGAAAACAGAAAGACATTTCCTAAATGAACTCAGGACAAATGAAGATAAGCAAACCAACAACCCTACTGAGGGAATTCTCATGATTCAGAGAACTGGCCATGCTACACATGACAGTTTCCCGTACGCCAAGAGCTTTGCCTACCTTAACCGATCCGCTCCTCCTAAAGCTCCGTGAGGATGGCAGGACTATTAATTTCCAAGCCACAGATTAGAAGAGTCATGATCATAGAAGTCAATAACTTGCCTAGAATTCAGAACTGGGCTAGTAGGAAGTTAAGAGTGCCAAACACTGCATCAAACTCTGTGCTATATTGCACCCTTAGTGCAACAAACAGATGCAAAGTAGGAGGGGTGATTTAAAGTACCCTCCTCTTGCTTCCTCATCTGCCTTGGCTCAGAATCCAAGCTCAATCAAGAACTAGGACCCAACCCCTTCAGAATGCCATCTGAAACTACAGATTCATCACAACCCATTTACTTCTTTCATTTCCACTCTCTCCATGGTGTGATTAGGGCTAATTACTTTATTTCCCAGTAAAACTAGCATGTTTCAGGGTCTCACAGTAAAACGCCATGCAAGTAAAAAACAGGGCATAGAATTAAACACATCTCTCCCTTTGGAAATTTTCTACTTATCTGAAATGAAGCGATCAGACAATCCTCATTTTTTCCAAATATAAAAGTGTCAGTTTTTATAAAAAAGAAAATGGGAATGAGGGATGGGTATCTATGGGATTGTAATTCAAGAAAATAAAAGAATTTTTCTTAAAAAAAATTAAAGGTTATTCGTTGGCCAGAACCATGAATGAACAGAACAAATGAGTGAAATTTCCTTTCTTTGTACTTTTTTGCTTTCCTCTCTGACATAGTGATTTTTTTTGTATTTTATAGAAATTGACCAAGTTTAGGGGCGCCTGGGTGGCGCAGTCGGTTGAGCGTCCGACTTCAGCCAGGTCACGATCTCGCGGTCCGTGAGTTCGAGCCCCGCGTCGGGCTCTGGGCTGATGGCTCAGAGCCTGGAGCCTGCTTCCGATTCTGTGTCTCCCTCTCTCTCTGCCCCTCCCCCGTTCATGCTCTGTCTCTCTCTGTCCCAAAAATAAATAAAAACGTTGAAAAAAAATTTAAAAAAAAAAAAAAGAAATTGACCAAGTTTGAAGTAGCACCTCCCTGAAGATGGAGAGTCTCATAAGACATAATGGATTCAACTTTCAAGTGACCAACTGACTGGCTCCATTTCCAGAATAGAAGCCAAGTTTTGCTTTAATATAAAGAACCAGATAGTTTCTCAACAAAGGTTTCTGCCTGGTAATCCAAAAAGCCTTCTCCAGTCTCTGGTTTAGTTTACCCAAAGCACACTTTGTTGTTTTCCCCCTCATTATAGCTTGCAGCAACATGCCATATCACTTGAGTCTTTTTCCTCCTCCTATGCTGGCTGCCCCATTCTAAAGTTCCTTTGCTGATTCATTCTCCTCTACTTGATCTTTACCAGTTGGAATTGCTCAAAGTTCAACATTTGGCCCTCTTTTACTCAACATTTTCTCTCCAGATGATTTCCTCAACTCGTTACTTTGGTTACTGTCAGAACAGCAGGGACTACTAAAGCTATAACTCTCTAGATCAGACCTCTCTCTGATCTCTAGGTCCCTATGTCTACAGACCACTAACATTCATGGATTGCTCACCAAGTGTTATGCCAAGTGCTGTACATGCATATTTTTAATTTAGTCTTTTATACATTTTCATATTTTACTATTTGCTTTGTTTCTAAGTATACATGTAACATACACATTCCTATAAAACTTTAAGGGATTAAAAAAAAAGATGACGAGTCATCTCAGCTCACCTACAATTCTGCTTCCTATACCACCTCATCTCATGCCCACACCATCAAGTATGAACTCTCAATCTTCACAACAACTCAGTAGAGGTAGTGTGACTGTTATCTCCATTTTACAGATGAAGAAAGTGAGGCATAAGAAGATTTAAAAACTTGTCCAAGGTCTCTTGGATAGTAAGTGGCAGAAGATGGATTACACATTCAGATTCGTCTTATTCCAACACCTTCACTATTTATTTTAGTTTTAATTGTTTTTTAACGTTTATTTATTTTTTAGAGAAAGACAGACAGAGTGTGAGTAGGGAAGGGGCAGAGAGAGAGGGAGACACAGAACTCAAAGCAGGCTCCAGGCTCCGAGTTGTCAGCAAAGAGCCCAACGCGGGGCTTGAACCCACGAACCACAAGATCATGACCTGAGGCAAAGTCGGACGCTTAACTGACTGAGCCACCCAGGTGCCCTCCACTATTTCATTTTTATTCTGTTACTTCACCTGGGCATCTCTCAGAATGCATCCCAAATTCAATTGTCCAAACTTGAACTCACAATGTTTCTGCCTTGTACCCACTCACCAAGCCTAGTCCTTCTGGTGGCTCTTAATGCTAGCAAATGACACACCAAATACCCATGTGTTCACTGAGATAACCTGAGGTTATCCTTAACACCCCTTCCTCCTTCCTAATCCACAACTAATCGGTCACCAAACTTTGCTGAGGTGGTTCCTAAATCTCTCTCGGATGTGTGAGATTCTATCACCACCTCTTGACTAGATCTGCTTCCAGACTTGACATCTTTTAAATCAACTTGCACACAACCACCAAATGGACCTTCAAAGAATGCTCACATTGGGGCATGCACCTCCCCCTTTAAAGTCTTTGGTTTTCCTATTGCTTTTAGAATCAAGTGAAATATCATTAGTATGGCTTCCAAGGCCCTCTTCAGTCCAACCTCTGCCTCCTTTCCTAAAGGTGTCTCTACCCCAGTCACACTGATCTTCTCTTAGTTCCTCAAATAAGTCATCCCCCTTTCACCCAGAGAATCTTCACACATGCTCTTCCCTCTCTTTGGAGTTCTGTTCCCCTCCTTCTTAACCAACAGTAGTCTTTTCAGTATACAAGCCTCAAGTTGCCCGGGTGAGCCTCTACTGCCCTCTTTATATATTTCTGTACTACTCTACTATATTCTCATACCATTTGGTACTTGCTTTCATCACTAAAGAGTTAATATACTGATGTATACATGTTTTCTCTACCAGACAATAAGCTACAGGAGGGTAAGGACAGTGTCTGTCTCACTTATCCCTGTGCCTGGAACATAGAAGGCTTGTAGCAACTTATGAAATGAAACTTGGTATGACGTTTAGTGAGTAGCCTACTTCATTGGCTTTCAAGTCTCCATTCCTGGAATATTGGGACGGTGGCACAAGTTTAGAAAAACGTTACCTCTTTTAGGCAAGTTGGATTCACTGCCAGCAAGGTGGCTTCTGGTAAGTGTATTCAGAAACAGTTCAAACAGTTCAAGGAGTTAGAGATGTTCTCCGATGGATGTCCCTAGGGAACAGAAAGAGGGCACTTGAAATCTTGGCCTTCTCCTTTCCCTCTCCTCTCAACCCGAGAATCGTCAGAGGAAGTCTAAACATTACTGGAAAATCTTTTGCAAGCTCGCTTCTCTGTTTATTTCCAAATAGTACTGTTTTAATTGATTCAAGTTTGCGGGACGGGATTCTAATTTCAAGACAACTCCCCAAACAATTCACCACAGAACAGAACATTGGAATTATGGTAGGTATAATGAAAATGCCACTGCATTCTAATATTGTCTCGTCCTCCATTGCTCCCACCCACAATTGGTTTTTTCGTACCAACAAAGACACAGCTGTATGAGCAGCAGGCTTCCATCTGTGGTCTCTTTTGCACTTGCACCATGCAGATATGGAAAAGCAAAAAACGTTCTTTACTTGATTTTATGTTTTCCATCATTTTGCAAGTGCAGAAAGAAAGAAAGAAAGAAAGAGCTGAAAGATCCTAGATCCTTGGGGGCTTTCCCTAAAACTGGCATTTCCAAGAAGTTCCATAGTCATTAGTTATATTTCTTTGGTCTTTCTAAATAATGTCATTGTCAAGAGTAGAGAAGCAAGTGGGGAGGAATGAAGGACAGATGGAGGACCATCTTTGTCCCATTACCTGGTAATGAACCGCAAATGTTCAGGGAAACTGCATCGTTATGCGAAAAAATAAAAATGATAAGGCACCTCGTGTTTTAGAACAGTTGTCAACTTCTTTATTCCCATTGTTTCCTTCATTCCCCATCATTGGACTGCCGTCAAATATTCATCAAGCAGGTTTACTTGTCACAGGTCATCTCAGCAGACTTTAAAGCCTGCAGGACAGAAAATGTCCTGGAAGTTGTAGTGTTCTCTGATCACTTAGCTACTGCTTTTATCAGCTCTCTAGATGTTTGTTCTGTGCAGTTTTTCAGGCCACTGCTGCCACCGACTCCATATTTGTTAACATGCTTTTAGTGAATCAACTCGCAATCAACTGGCAACCCGCATTCATCCTTCAATACTCAGTTCAAGTGTCACGTCTTCAGAAAGTTCCCTCATTTCTACAGTACGAGTTAAGAATTAAAATAGCCATTCTATTTTTTCTCTTATCGTTACAGGTACATATCAATCATACCTCTGGTTACAATGCTCTAATTTACATCCATGTCTAGATCCTTAATTCAGTGATTCTACTATTTCCTACTTTTGCTTATGTCTCTAGAGTCTAAAATATGAATGAGTGAATGAAAGAATGAATGAATGAAATTCACAGTTTGATTTTTATTAATTTCTTAATGGTACAGCAAAATGCACCAAATAAGCAAAAACTCTACGAAGTACAGTATGCCATCCATTGTCCAGCCTACTCCCTATAATACATGAACAGGAAGGTTTTTTCTGAAGAAATCAAAGACAAAACTAAACTCAAATTCTCATTTCTGTCTTCTCTCTGATCATTTTTTTTACCATTTTAAAATACAAAGAATAACGGGGTGCCTGGGTGGCTCACTCATTTGGGCATCTGACATTGGCTCAGGTCATGAACTCATGGTTCGTGAGTTCAAGCCCCGCGTCGGGCTCTGGGTTCACAGAGCCTGTTTTGGATTCTGTGTCTCCCTCTCTCTCTCTCTCTCTCTCTCTCTCTCTCTCTGCCCCTCACCACTCATACCCTGTATCTCTCCCCTTCAGATATAAACATTAAAAAATTTTTTTAAAATACAAAGAATAAGAAACCAACGCTAATTGCGTTAACTATCCAGCTTACTTTACCTTGCCAAACTTTAATTTGCTCAACTAAGGCTTGTAGGGATGGTGTGTGGATTCACTGGGGTCATGCACAGCACATCTAATAGCCCCTATTATAGCGCCTGACAGACAGTGAGTGGTAAATAGTACTCAACTGTCATTTTTATGAATATCAGGAACTTAGCGTCACATTTTGATTTTCCCTTATTCTCCCCATGCCCCTGCTCGTACAAAGCTGTTAGCCATAAAGAACTGATCAAAAGACAGGAAATGAGAGGGAAAATGTAAAATCAAAATGGCCTAAAACCCAGAAAATACATCTTTGAAGAGTAACAATATATTTTATTAATATCAGATCCACAGGCAATCTATCTAAAGGAATTTTCACTACCCACGTGTCACTTCATCTTTGATAACTAATGCTTTGACATATCTTTTGGCTCAAAAGACTTATCACCTTGTAAAGCATGATATGTGTTTACTGGGACAGCTGCCACAAAAGCAGTTCTGCAAATAAACTTTGTTTAACTTGCTGCTTTCAGACATTAGGGAATGATCTTTAATATACATATGTAAAAGACATACATATATATATGTATGTATGTATATATATCAAAGGCACTAAACCCTTGGTTTCATAACTATAGTAGTCTAGTTAAAATTAATAGACAAAAGACTGTAATATATCAAAGAGTAACCATATCTATATCAGCTTTTGTATCAATGACTCAAAATGATTCTCTTTCTTTTTTCTTTGCCTTACAATAAAAAATAATATACCCGACATCAATTACAGGCCAAATTTTAAACTTAAAAAACAAAACAAATGTATTCCTAATATTTTCTTTTTTTTATTATTTTTTTTTTTTTTTTAATTTTTTTTTTTTCAACGTTTATTTATTTTTGGGACAGAGAGAGACAGAGCATGAACGGGGGAGGGGCAGAGAGAGAGGGAGACACAGAACCAGAAACAGGCTCCAGGCTCTGAGCCATCAGGCCAGAGCCCGACGCGGGGCTCGAACTCGCGGACCGCGAGATCGTGACCTGGCTGAAGTCGGCCGCTTAACCGACTGCGCCACCCAGGCGCCACTTCCTAATATTTTCATCACATATACCAAGACCTCTCATTTGCTACCCATGTAGGCATAATCAATAAGTCAATCAACAAACATACTGAGGACCTGGAAGGCACCAGTTTGCTGTTACTTGAAGATTCGTAGGTAAATAAAACACCCTACTTTCAAGAAACTTATGTTCTCGTGGATAAGACAGACTAAGAAATTAAAACTTTCATACTTTGTAACAAGTATCATTGTAAAGTTAATGATATGGTGCTTGTGGATCCCAGATGAGACAGAGAACCACGAAAGGCTTCCTGAAAGAAGAGGCATAAGTTCAATTTTAAAGCATGAACAGGAAACATTAGTCACTCAAGGAGGAAAGAAGTAACAAGGGGGAGGGACTGTGCAAAGGTGTGAATGCCAACAGTATAACTTGACCAGTGAACTACAAATAGATCATTATAGTGCCGTATGGAGTAATCCAGAGACCATGGAGAGGAGACAGGGCTTGGAAAATAGCTTAAGATCTTGAAGGGTCTTGCATGTAAGGAACTTAAGCATTCCCATTCATTGGTTGCTTGATTCATTCATTTACTGCGAGTGGGAGAGGGACAGACAGAGAGGCAGAGAGAGAGAATCCCAAGCAGGCTCCGCACTGTCAACATGGATACTGACATAGAGCTCGAACCCACGAACCGTGAGATCGTGACTTGAGCCGAAATCAAGAGTTGGATGCTTAACCAAGTGAGCCACCCAGGAGCCACTTAAACATTTTCTTGACAGCTACTGACAGCCATTTATGAATAAATAAGAAAGTGACATAACCAGATCTGCATCTCAGTAGATCACTCTGGCTGACTTGTACAGAATGGATCATATGCAGAGAAATATCAAACTCTGTCACCCATGGTAAATGCTCTTACATAACAACCTAGTGCCCTTGAAACACTAGTAGAATTAAGAATAACTTCACAAAACAAAATAGAGTTGTACAGCATGTGATACGTTGATATTTTCTACTGTTTAATTGTTTAAAATTCTGGCCTTGGCCTACCAAATTGATTTCACAACCCTCGAATGGGATGTGACCCAAACTTTGAAAAACCCTTGATAAGAAGAAATAAACCAGAGTCGGGAAGATCAGACAGGAGGTTACCATAGTAATTCAAGCAGTAAGAGATGTGGACTTAACTAAGGCAACACAATGAAAGGATATGGTAACTTCTGCCTTATTAATAAAGCTCTATTTGTTTCTCTTGCTATGACCTAGTGAAGTAACTTGGCAGCATGAGTGCACTTCTGAGATAGTCATCATCTGAGTGTCTGCCATGTTTCACACTGTGCAAAGAGCTTTACACATATATTGACTCTGATTTTGATCGCCACACTGCAGGGTGGATACTGCTGTCTCCATTTTACAGACAATACCAAAAGCCCAGGGAAACTGGGTAGCTCGTTCAAAGTCACACAGACATATATTAAATCAGTATATAGCCAATATTTCTAGTGCCAGTTTATTCATACTCAACTACCATACAACAGTCTGATGAATGAAAATATTTCAGTACCTCCTGATGACTATTTAGATTATTTCCAGCTTTTTGCTCTTCTAAACAATGCTACCGTATATATAATATTGGGCCTATGTTATTGTGAAGCGAATTCCTGGATCATAAGATGGGATTGTGTTATAGAGCTATTTTATTTGTATTAGGAAGTCTACATCAATTCCATTTTATTGAGGGTTTTGAACATGAGTAGTTGGATTTTTCCCTAGGAATTTTCTGCATCTGTGGAAATGATCATATGATTTTGCAATGCATTTCCACTAGTATGACAGGTTTTAATGTTTTTTATTCTAATATTAAACCATCTTTGCAAAACCCTACCTGCTCATATTTCTTTTTTAATGTACCAATGGAATCTGGAAAACCTTTGATAAGAAGAAACAGGCAAGAATCAGGAAGATCAGACAGGAGGTTACAAGCAGGAAGCCATGTGGACTTAACCAAGGCAACATAATGAAAAGGATCTGGTAACACAATGACAAGTATTAATACACTAATATACATTTAGTTGAGACCTCTGTATCAATATTTGTAAGTAAGATTAGGCTGTTGTTTCTTTTCTGGTACAATCTTGTAAGTACTTTTTAAAATATGATACCCACTTCATAAAAGTAAACTTGAATTTTTTCTTCCCTTGTAGAGCACAAAATCTCCCAAATAATTAAGGAGCCTAATAGTCATGTCATCATAAAAGTCTTAGTTGAATTCTTGCATGAGACCATTGGAAGATGGTGTCTTTTGTAGGGGTGGACTTAGGTACTTTCTATTTTGGTCATTTTCATTTAGTCTAAAATGTATCCCTTAGTTTAGGATTTCAAAGTATTTGTACAAAGTTGTGTAGTCTCTTAAAATATTTAAAAATTTTCTCTTTTTAGGCTGATTTACCTTTTCGGCTTCCTGATTGTGTACAAATTATACTTTATCCCCTTTTACTTGATCAGGTTAGCTAGTGACATCATTTTTTTTTTTTAAAGACACAGCTTTTGGTTTTAAGGTATTTTTGTTTGCTC